GTCGTTAAAGTTTCGTCGGAACGAAGTTACGGAAAGTTAATTAACAAACGAAGACGTAACAATATATTCGTAACAAGTTAACGCATGTACAATAAATTTTTCAACACTATAGATATTATAGACATATCATAAATACTATATATGTAGTTCTCTCCTTCTTGTCAAATATCCACTTAGGCCTATTTAGTTACTTTAGAATTTCAATTGACAAGCCGAACTATTTTCTCTATTTCTATCGCACTAATACCAATAGTATTCTCTGTGATTCACTTACAATTGTGGCTCGAGTTATCGTAATCGTTTGGTCTTCTTTCTTTTGAAGATCTTCTGTTTCTTTTGGCAAAGTGCACTCAGGCTGATTCAGTTACTTTAGAACCACACTTTGACGGTATAAAATTATTTTTCATATGTTATTTTCTACTGTTAGTTTCACTCTAACATATTAAACGTTAGACCTATCACTTCTACGGTAGTTAACTTCACACCACCTTTATTCTCTTTATCTGTCTGCTGCTTCCCTCTCATCTCACACTATTTAGATCTCTATCACTTAATCGTCTGTCCACATTCTGTATTCTACACGTCAATGAATTATTGACAAAACTTCCTACAATCGTCTGATTTTTACTCTTATTATGACAAAACTAAACAAAAATATAATATTCACTCACAAAAATATATTAATCACTAATATCTAAACCAAACAGTCTTTTATATCATGACATACCTTTGTGTAGCTTTATGCATTGACCCCAAAAGAACCTTTGTTTGTTGTTTTTTTTATTGGGGGGGGGGGGCTTTTATCATTTCCACAAAACTTTCAACTGTGTTATCATCTTGAGATTAAGTTTTGACTTTTTATATAATTTTTACTAAAATAATCCACTCCTGACACAAGTTTTGTAATAGATTTTATTGCTCGATAGATTCTTTTGAGTTTATAAAATAATGGAAAGTCCAGTCAACGCAAACAAAAATATTTTAGTTCATCAGTTTCCACATTTAGCGTAACCACGTTCACCAGTAAGCCTAACTTCACACATAAACTACATTTAGTAAGCATCCCTATTTCTTCATCGAATATAAACTCGATATTTACAGTACTGAACTAATTGTCTGACACTAACAAACTGACTAAGTCATACAGTGATTACCAATTATCTAACTCACCGACAGCAGACAAACTTGCTTTTATATATATGGCTCAAACTGTTTCCAGATATAAAGGCCACCATGTTATCTTACACATCCTTCCCATTAAACAAGCACAAAGATAACAAGAAACTACTTTTTAAAAAGGAAATAAACATAGGGATGGTTAATATCAATCCTTATAAAACAATAAAAAAATAAGTAGGGATAGGCATTTGCATTGTTA